TTGCAATATTGTGCATTGTTACACATCCACCCAGAAATGTATGTGTTTTTGCCAAACATCGAATCCAACTTGTTGCCAAACATCATATTTCTTGAACATAGCTAGAAAATGTTAGCGTACCATGTTAAAAGATTAAATTATTATTTATGCCCTTTTTTCAATGTACTCCCTCCGTCCCATAATGTAAGATGTCATTCACATCGGCCAACCTTCTAAAATCTTCACTCCGTGCTCTAATTAACATTTACCCTGTAGATTGTTTTGGATGAGAAAATGGACGAAGTGCGCAGGATTTCTAGCCAAGTAAGTGACCTTGATCAGCAGCTGAGGAGGGAGAAAGAAGAATGTCATAGGTATCTAAGCAACACCTGCGCATGCCAATTTGGTCATTTTCTTTATTATTTTTATCAATAGCAAGGTGGTTTTATTATCTAGATATCCTGTTCTCACATTGAATTATGATTCCAATGTAGAATGACGTCAAAAATGAAGAAGTTCCTAAAAGCTCATGTGCGTTTTATGAAAGCTCGGGAGGAGTTGAAAAGGTGCATACTCATCAATGTTAAATCTTGTAACGAAATACATTCTTGGCTTGCTTACCTCACTATATTCTATCTTTGCATGACTTGCAAGTTTGTAGTAACTAAGAATTGACTATTGGAGCTGTGCAGGTCACAAGCTCGTTTTGAGAGACTTGGTGATATGCTTGCTTCAGAAATTTTAAAGCGTGCTAATGAAGAAGCTTCCAGCGTCCATGTTGATGAAGATCTAAATGGACCTTATGAAAGGAGTCCAAATGCTACTCCAGCTAAAAAGAGATCAATCCCATACTCAACTAGTGATGAGGCAAAAGCTGGTAGGTTGCTTGGATTCTTTGATGATTATATATATACTCCTGAAGAACATATGATGATCAGTACAATGTGGATCTCGTACATATTTTTCCTTCCATATGCATCTTAACATGTTTAAGCAACCCATCTTATTAAGTATTAAGCAATACTTAAAGGTTCCGACTATGTTAATCTTAAGCATTAAATACATGTGATTAATTACTATGTAGAAACACTGGAGGGGGTAATTTTTTCTTCACATTATTGAGATTTCATTCTGTACATTATTGCAGAAATATCTTTCTATCATATTGCTTGTATACTTGCATCTAATCTTTTGTCCGGTTTTTCAGCTAAGAAAAGAAGAGAGCGAGACTCTGATACATTCACTAGGTCAGATAAATATAGGTCAGAAGGCGATATTACAGAATATGATAAAACAATTAAGGGTAGTGATGGAACAAAATCTATATATTTGAAGAAGAGACTCTGGGAAGATGAAAAGAATAAGCTTGGAAATGCTGCCTCCTCTGCAGACCAGGTCCAGTATTTCCCTGTGCCATCTTAGTATTGTGTTAATTGTCATATAATGATTGCTGGCTTGTTTATTACCCCATGCCATCTCAGTTTTGTGTTTAAATGTCAGATTGTGATTGCTGGCTTGTTTATAAGTAACGAGTGAACCTCATAGTTTTCCTTCATTACCGAGTCACTAGACTATTAGCAATGAATCATCTTGATGAATGAATTCTGCATATTACGAGCGAATACTTAATTGAGCAGATATTTTGAAACTTACAGGTGAAAGATTCTCCAGTGAAGCACGCTTTGCCCTCCACTGGCTTGGCTGCTCGTGCCTTATATGACCTTAACGAGGCAGTTGAACTGGATGATAGAAACGAACAGATAGATGCATTGCTAGAAAACGATGCCGACGGGACTAGATCGCCTGTTCCTCCAGTGGGCCAAAATGCCTTCGAGCAGGTGACTATCCTCCAAGAAACCGCGAACCTGTTTTATCATACGCACTAAAAAATAGCATGGCATTGCTCATTTACGTTCTCCCCGCCTATATTTCTTATTATAGAAGAATGGTTATTGGCTTGCATATGACGAACATGTGTGCTCACAGTTTGTTGCATCTTCTTTCCCAGTATGAGGACCTCGACGAGGAAGTGGATGTGGACGTATAAGCCGAGCGCATAGTTGATATGATAAACGACGCGATGGCGGTGGCTAGCATAATACACCAGTTGGCTTCTGGGAGTCCGAAGACTGTTATTAGCATTTCCGTGTACAAAGTGGCATCTTTTGTGTTTTTTTAGCATAATATACCTATCTATTTGATATATATATTGGGTGTTTTTAGCTTTTTACTCAGAATCCTCGTTTTGTAGTGGCATCCTTTGGTGTTGAGCTGTGACTTTGTTGATCCTGGTTGCGGCCCGATCCGTGGAGCCTAACTTATTTTCGTGAATGGCAACTCTGTCTCTTCGATTTTGTCAGTGACGTTGCCGTGCGCTAGGGATTTCTATGTCATCTCTCAAGCCAATCAGCCCAGTACGGGTGACTGGTGCATTTTCTATAGCGCTTTCCCCGTTTTTGGCGTCACGGTGGATTATGGTAATCCTGGTTATCTAGATTATGTCTTACTATGGTAATCCTGGTTATCTATCTAGATTATGTCTTACTATGCAGCATCTGGATGGTGTATACGGCGTGATTTGATCATTCGTACGTGTAACCTTTTTTGCAACTAGGTCGTGAGTTTGAGGTTCTCTCTCCCATAAACTATGTGCACAAGCACCTCTTGAAGTAAAACACAATAAGGTGTCTTGCCGGAACGGGAGGGGTTGCCCACACAGCGGGTCGTCGCGTGCCCTCCTTGAGGGAGAACCGGAGAGCTTCTTACCAAGTGGTCAGCTTGGTAAGCTATCAACAAAAATATTGCAATGACAGAACCGGAGAGCTTCTTCGGACGTGCCTAAGGCCGACAACGTGTACATAGTGGAGTGGCATGGCTGCCCTTAAGGATGCCGACGTGTACATAGTGGAGTGGCATGGCTGCCCTTAAGGATGCCGACTGGCCACTGCACCACTGCCGCGTGTACCATGACGACACCACCATTGACGCGACGATGATGATGGTGAGCGCCTCGGAGGACGACAACAAAGATAAATGTCATGCGATGTTAGCTCTCTTGTCTCTCTTCGTCGTGAATCAAACGTCGTAGGTGCACCGAGGGTGTGAGTTCGGGAATCGCTGGAGGTACCTGAGCTCTTTGGCAGGATTGGGGATTTAGGAGGGGTGGATTTGACTAAATAGAAGAGCTTCTACACGTCATCTCCATAGCATTCATCACCCTAATCGATATCGCATACAACGCACATTGTAAGACAATCTTCAATCATTCATCTACAAGTAATACTAGTGTGTAGTGCGCGGCGGCACGCTGCGCCATATTGATTAACATGGTAATCTTTTTTTTCAAGGTTTGATAGTTCATTCTATGATTTAATTGGCAACATAGTAATTCATAGATAGGAGTTGATGCGAGCAAAGGAAATCTATAATACACAGTAGTAGTAGCAGTAGATCGGTAGATGTTAAGTTTCCGTTCTTCTCTAAGAGCCGAGAAGGTCAATTCCCCGTCTGGGTTCGTTTATGTACAAATCCTTTACTTCTCATGTGGCATCAAACATTCATTGCTTCAAGTTTGTGTGATTTACTAATCGCATAGGATTCAACATTACATGTTACTTCAATCATGTGTTTTCATGTTACTATAAAAATTCTGTAAATAAAAGAGACCCTAAATATAGGAAAAACTCACATAGAATAAGGCGTAAACAGACGAGTGGGGTGTTTTGGAGCTTTGCTTTTAAAAAAACAATCTAAAATTGGACTTCTCAGCTTTAAAAAATCTAAAAATTGTATAAGTATACAGGGATGTGATGTGTATGTATGCCAAATTTCAGGATGAAATACCTTGAAATGCAATTAAAAAAAATCATGAGCTTTTTTTTAGAACACAAAATCATGAGCTTTGAGGATGAATAGTGCATCTACTAAAAAGTCCTAGACATGTTCCTTCTTTTGCGCAGCACTCATTTTAACATATTTATTTCTAAGAAAGTACACACTTTTGAATTATGTCTCTAAGTATATGTGTATCTTTTCGTTTTTTTTAAAACATGTAAATTAGTATTTTGATCGTTTGAAATTCGGCCTCCATGGAGGCCGAGCTCCATTGAGAATTTTCGCAAACCGACCTTACCATTTGCCTATAAAAGGTGGTTTGGACAAATCGTCAGAATACCCACAAAAGATGGGGAAAAAAGAAAGGATCAATTTCCCGGGTGGGGTGGGGCGCCGTGTGGTTTCCGGTACATGTTACACCCCCGGTGCGGCCTCATTCGTTTTGAATGATTTTTACAAGAAAAGCATAGGAACAAAAATTCCAGAGGAAATTTTTCTACACGTATAGGAATTTTGTAAGAATACTATTCATTTCCTATGTTTTAAAGGAATTTATATATTACTCAAAGCTTATTTTGTGCATAGGAACGAGGTAAGACAACCTTAGGATTGCAAGTGCCATCCTATCAACTTCCTGTACTATTCTTAAATCCTATGTTTTGGTTTCCTCCGAACCGAATGAGCCCGCAGTTCTTCTCCGATAAACAGATCTAGGGCATGTGAGGGAGGGATACTCCGAGGTTAATCGGAGGCGGCGGCCGTCGGGCGCCGACGCAGCCGAGACCCCTCGTCGCGCCTTGGCCATGCTCTCATCCAAGGACGCCGCGTGGTGCCGCATCATCGTCGTATGCAACGGAGAGCCGCCGCGCTGATTCGTCCTCGGCGGCTCGTCGTTCTGCATCATCGCCTCCTGTGAAGTTTCCGAAGAGGCGGGGGAACAACAAAAAAAACAGTTCTTCCTCGAGCTGCAGACGGAAACCGCTTCCTGTCTCCTCGAGGCTTGGTCCGAGTCTCTCTCGTCTTCGTTCTCCGGGTTGCAGCCGGAGGCGGAAATCGATCAGTTATATATACTCCCAAGCGCTCACCGCTCACCACCGAACCCATAAGATTCAGTGGAGAGCAGCCAAGACGCCGACCGCCCCACTCCCGCCGGCTATTTTTCTCCGTCCTCTTGGCTAATCCGCACAATGGCGGTGAGTTCCTTCTCGTCCCATACCTCTAGATCCGTTTCCTTTCGACCGATATTGCATCATCGAGTTAAGAAAATTATATCTTTTGAGGCAGCATGGGGCAAGTCCTTTCGACAGTAATACCGCAGGAAAAGTTGCATTTTTTAGACTAAGAAAACTACCAGCATCTTTGAGTGAGGACATATCGGATTTGCGTCTTTGAGACTGTCAAAATTGCAGCTTTCATACTTCAATACAAAATCAACTCTGATTTGTTTCTACTCTAAATGCAGAATGACAGTTGTCCGAAGCAGGAAGACAATGGAGATGACAGGCTCAGCAACTTGCCTGAACATATTTTGCTTACCATCATTGATCGACTTGATATCCGCGAGGCTGCAAGAACCAGTGTCCTTTCTGGCGGGTGGCGGCACCTCCCTGCTATGCTCTCTCGACTTGTGATAAATGTTTGGGACTTCTTAGACGCGTTCAATTGCAACAATGATGAAATTGTTCGGGGCAACGAAGCTGTGGTTAAAGTGACAAAGAGCATCCTGGCACGCAGAGATTTAAGCCGAAATGCCATCCAGTTTCTGTGCATGACGTTCTTCTTGAGAGAAGATGATCCAATATCCATTGGGCATGCTGTTGCTCACGCCATGGCAACCCAGAAGGTCGAGATAGCTGAGTTCATAATTTTCACGGAGAGGGATGATACCCACTGCGACGACGATGATCTTGTCAATTACGGGCGACAATTCATGCTATTCTTCGGTGCATGTTCCAATGCATTTGGTGGTCTCACACGTCTTAACCTAGAGAATTTGAGATTCGGGGAATCAGACATCCCTAACATCCTCAACATTTGCAAACGGTTAAATCATCTACGCCTGTTCAATTGTGACTCAGGAAATTCGACCATGTTGCAAGTTGAGCACACACAACTCATTGAGCTTGCTATTGTTGATTGTTCTTTTGAAAGAGTTGAGCTCAGCTCACTTCCGAAACTCACACGGATCATCTTTGAGGGTTGGATCTCTTTCCAAGATCCACTATCTTTTGGTTATGTCCCGTTGCTTGATGTTGTAAGCCTCACAAATGTTGGCCTTAGTTGGCACAAGATGGTCAGGTTAAGTAAGTTTCTTCGGGATACTATCTCTGTGAGACAGTTGCAGCTGGGATTTAAGTCCGAAAAGGTATGTCAAGATGCTTGTTTCTTAGCTGTGGTCATACTTCTTATGTGCTTATCTCATCATGTGTTCATTTGTTGCAGATTTGGGTTCAACCAGAATGTCTGACGGGAAGGATGGCATCCGTGTTTGACCAAATGCGGTTTGTGAATCTAGCTAATATTCCTGAGGGGTATGATCTCACCTGGACATTGTTCATTCTTAAAGCTGCGCCAATCCTGAAGGAGCTATACTTGAGTGTATGTTCTTACCTAAAGCTTGCTTTCTTCCTACCGCATGCACCTGCGCTCAATTTTGAATTTTGCAAGCCTTTCGCATCAAAATACAAATGGCTGGAAAACACTTAACTTGTTTCTGTTCACCTGTCTTTCTATGGCATACAGGTATGGGATCATCTGTGTATAATGGAAACAGATGCAAAGGAGAGGAAGTCACTCTCGTATAGTGAGGATAAAGGTGCACAGTGGGAATCATCTGCAACTGATTTCCAGCATCACAGTCTGGCCACGCTCGTCATCTTCGGGTTTCAAGCTCGAGACTACATGATGAACTATGTCAAGCGTGCCATGCAAATATCGGTCAATCTAAAGGATGTGTTCTTGTATGATCGGTTGACATGTGACAAGTGCTACGGCAAGCTTCCAAAGCCGTCGGAGTTTCCGCCTAAGTGGCAGCAAGGCTGTGTGAAGGAGATAATCACCAAGAGGATCAATTCGTCTGCCATAATTCACTTCCATACCGTCGCCAATTCAAGGGATGATCATCTCGACAAAATGTGGTTCCTGTAGTTTTTGTTTGGATAAACAGTATACTCCCTCAGTTCACTATTATAAGATGGTTTAACTTTTTTTTTTGATTCGGATGTATATGAATGCATTTGAGTGTGTTTGTTCACTCATTTCAGTCCATATGCAGTCTATATTAAATATCCAAAACATCTTATACCCCCTCCGCTTGGGTTTAGTAGGCCCCTTCCATTTTGTGCCAAAGTTTGACCATGAATTTAACTAATACTCCCTCCATTCCAAAATGAGTGTCTTAACTTTGTACTAACTTTAGTATAAAATTGTACTAAGTTTGAGACACTTATTTTGGGACGGAAGGAGTAAAATATAAACTATATGTCCAGAAAACTATACCATAGAAAACATCTTTCAAATACAAATCCAACAATATACTTTGGGTAGCATGTACTTTATATATTTTTAGTTAAATACATGGTTAAACTTGGACCCAAAATACAAAGAGGCCTAATAAACTCAGATAGAGGTAGTATTTGTGATAGAGGGAGTAGATAATTAGCGATTAGTTTTTTGTAAACTCGTTTTAAACAAATTTTCAGTAAAACCGGTTTTATAAAAGGCAAAAGCTAAAACCGAACGAACAAAATATTGCAACAGATCAGAATGATCTCATAGCCGTTTGATCCCCGCTCGCGATCGCCAAATGAATCAATCGCACCCAGAATTATGACTGATCTTCTCCTGTGATTTAAGAATGGTTTCAATTATCATTAAAGCAGATAGATTTTTTTCCTGTGAAGTAAGGACGGCTTTTAATTCTCATTAATACAGAAAGATCTGTTTTTCCTGATTTAAGTAGTACTAC